ACCATATGTATTGAAGGACCCATGTTGTAATTCACCGTGTGATATCAGCTTAATGATTATTAATTAATGCTAGTGATCTTATGAGCTAGCAAATTAATCTATCTAGCTAACGAAGAGCCCCCAAAAGGATATGATAACATGCTTTCATTTGGAAATGGAGTTTCCAACTTCCTACCCTAGCTAGCTAGGGAGGAATATGATCATTTTAATTCATTACTACTTTTCCCCTCTAACATTTATCATTGTTACAAAATCTAAGTACGTAGTTTTTCATTGATCAATTTTCATAAAATAATCAAGGAAAAAGGACAAAAACCCCCCGAATTATGTCCCAAAGACAGATTCCTCCCCTTCCCCCCCCCCTCCGAATTATGTCCAAAGGACAAAAATCGTCCCGAGTTATGTCCCAAAGATAAATTGTCCCCTGAGTTATGTCCAAAAGACAAAAACCCCGCTCGAGTTATGTCCCAAAGACAAATCTCAGTGTGAAAAGATAAAAATACCCTTAAATCTAGAAATAAATTCTTTTACATCAAACATACCCTCCAACTAATTCGTTTATTTTTTTGAAAAAATTATAAATTCTATTATCCTTCATTTTAAATCCGTCACTAACTCAGTTTTGATGTATTATTTCTCCCTATCACTGTCGTTTCAAAAATAAACTCGAGATTGAGAATTTAATCTATCAAAATCAAAATAAACCATAAAAAAATGAATAGAATTTATGATTTTGATTTATTAAATTCTCAATTTCGGGTTACTTTTATTGAGAAGGCAGTAATAACCATAAATTCTATTTATCTGATAAATAGAATTTATGGTTATCACTACCGTTTCAATAAAAGTAAACGGAGATTGAGAATTTAATAAATGAAAACTATAAATTCTATTCATTTATTTATGGTATATTTTAATTTTGATAGATTAAATTCTCAATCTCGAGTTTATTTTTATTGAGACAACAACGACAGGGAGAAATAATACATCAAAACTGAGTTAGTAACGATTTAAAATGATGGACAATAGAATTTGTAATTTTAAAAAAATAAACGAGTTGGTTGGAGGGTATGTTTAGTGTAAATTTTTTTTTTTCTAGATTTAAAGGTATTTTTATTTTTTTACACTAAGATTTGTCTTTGGGACATAACTTGAATGGGGTTTTTGTCCTTTGGACATAACTCGGGAGACAATTTGTCTTTGGGACATAACTCGGAGGGTTTTGTCCTTTTCCCAATAATTAATAGTTGCTCTTTATAGGCGTGCATGACCTAGAAAGGTTTTTCTAGAATCTCAATTCTCAAATAAGAATAAATGTTCAACTAATCAGCAAGTGTGCGTGTACTTATTTATAAAATGGCAAATGAGCTTCAAGGACTTTTTTTTTTTTTTGGGTTAATTATTAGTATGTTATATGGGGCATCTAGCTAGCTAGGTACCTCTTTGTGTACGTATGACCAAGCACAATATGGTTTGTTATCTTGCATAATTTTTTTTCTTTTACAATATAAGTTATTTTTATTGGACGGAGGGAAAACTAATTTAATTTAAATTAATGAACTGTTAAAAATGGACAGGATTGATAATTATTGTTTAAGTTAATTTAGCAGTTATAGAGTGGGACTTTCTCTAGTGGTTCTTTACTATGTTACACCTGTCAAAGTTTGCATTTTTCTAACTACCTTTTTCTTAGGGTAAAACTTCAAAATGTTGGGTCAGGTTGAAATTATTACAAAAAAAAAATATTCCCAAGAACCGAAACATTATATCCGTAGTATGATTTTTTAAGATTTTGATGTTCGTGCAATTCGTGGACCACAACACTTATGAATTAAACAGTGAAATTTTCGAAAAAGTTTTTTCTTTTTTTTTTCTCATATTTAAAATTTTCTAGTAAAGACTAGTAAGGTGGTCCATATTGGTGGTGTTCAAAACTTCAAACGTTCGAAAAAGGAACCAATTTCATAATCAAAACTATTGATTCTCGAGACGAAAGAGTTTTAAGATACACATTATCTAAGAAACCAAATGTTTTTAAAAAAAAATTGAAAACAAAAATAATGATATGATAGTGAATAGTTTGACTTTTTTTCGGTGTTGCTAAACGCAACTTAATTTTAATTAGCGTAACTTGTAAAATAGACTAAAATACTCTTATAAAGTTGTGTGAAGTAAAATCAAGCTGCTCTAAGTAAAAACAAAGCCGATCAGGAGATGCAATTTGAACTTTCTATTCTCCATAACACCAAAACCGTCGATCACACCAAAAAAATGTGAAAAAAATGATCCCACCAGAAGAAAAAAACGATCACCCATTTCGGAGGGGGGAAAAAATCACTGATAACTGATCATATAAAAGCCAAAAAATTTAGCGCATAACATTTCGGGGAAAAAAAAGTCCCTCAGAAACCCTAGCCGTCCGATCACACTAAAAACGGGAAAAAAAAATCACACTAAAAAAATAAAAAATTCATCCATAAATTACCTCATTTTCTTTTCTTATTTGGTTCTCCGTCATTGCAAACAATCAATAATCAGTGAATTTTGTTGTATATTAAAATAATATGTGTGAAATAGTAAAAAAGGATGACCGTATAAAAAAATTCGGGAGAAGTTAAGGTTCAGGGGTATTTTAGTCTATTTTACAAGTTGCACTAAGTAAAATTAAGTTAAGTTTAGGCATTCACTTTTTTAATCACACTACTATGGTCATGATTTTATAAAATGTCAAGTGTAAAACATTACACTACCACATCACGGAAGTAACTCTTAATCTCTTATGCAATCGTAATGAAATTAGGGTTTATCCCCATCTCAACAATCATTAATATGAATGAATCCACCTACATTTTCCGATACTGGTGATGCCATAAATTTGAGGATACTGATTCTGGTAAGAAAATTGTATATGGAATGAATCACAATCCTCCACCTTTATATATTATTTTATTTTTAGGATTTATTTATTTAAGGGTAAAAGAATATATAGTTGAGTTTCATCTACCTCATTTCACGTAAAATTTTTTGTGGAATTTTTCTTGTATGTATTACCACCACACTAAATTTAAACGTGAAATTCCCCTTCGTGGGAATACGTATCCCTTTTACTCTATTAAAGGAGAAGACATGAAGTTTATGTGACAACTACGTATGCATCTGTTTTGGCTCCAATGCACCATATTTCAGATTTCAGGAGTTTTTTTACCACGTGTAAGTCTCTTTTAATTAGAAGCTATATAATTCTTTTTTTAAAAAAAAACACATGTTTTAGATGTGACCCGAGTCCAATGAAAAAATTCTACAAATAAGAATCAGTTACATTTCAAATGAATGGATATATTAATTCAAATTCAAATGTCCAATCGTACAGTTTTGCAGGCTTAATAGAAATAAAAAATAAAAAATAAACCTAAATCCAGTAATTAAGAATAATGCCTTATAAACTAATTATTTATTATTCCCTTATAACCTCAAATTTATAGGTATATTTTTTTAAGCCCCAAATCATAGCATAAATGATATATACGCCAAATTAATTCCTCAAAAAATAGTAATTCAATTAGATTTTAATAAAATAGTAATTTAGAAGGGGCGCTCGGACATCTGTCTGGGCCAAACATCTAGTTCTACGTTACATGCCAAACGCGCACACAAAAAAAAGAGGAGAGAAAATTGGAATGGTGTGATAATCACTGTCTACCCTTTGCATTGTCAAGTGACAACATATGAAAGAAGCAAAAAAGGGGGAAAAAATGGAGTGGTGTTAAGCCAATAGGGTTACAGATTATGGGATGAATTGGCAACACTTAATTAGTCCACCCATCAAACAAACCATATCTTACATTAGATTTTGTGTCCTAAACTTTTGGAGACCATTATTCATCATCCCTTCTCTTCCCTATTTATTCCCCCTTTTTCTCTTTTTTCTTCACCCCTTTCTTCTTTTTCCCACTCACTCACTCCTTATATTCTTTTCTTCAAAAAACTCCTTATATTTTCATTTTTTTTCCCGTCGTAATTGGTACAAATTACAAACTATTGAGTGGCGATTTATGTATAGAAAAGACATTATTTTTAAAAATTTTCACATAAAAACAAATTACTCTCATGTCTAACTATTTTAGTTTTGGCAACATAACTGTTCTTAATGGATGATGGTTTTATGTTCATATTTTGTTACATTATAATTTGGTACTCCAACATTTGGCAAGCCTTCAACGTCAATCATTGATCCATAGAAAGAATTAAACAGTGGTGGAAGTTAATAGGGTGTCTCATGTGCTTGGTAGTATTTATTTATTTTAATTTTACTCTATATAGTAGTAGTAAAAATTGGGAAGGAAAAAAAATACTCCATCCGTCCCATAATTATTGTCCAGTTTGGGTTTTCATTTTAGTTCAAATTGTACTAAAAGTGAAATCTCAAACAGGACAATAATTTTGGGACAGAGGGAGTAATCACTTTTTGACTAAAAACGTTAGTAAAATTAAATAAGTAAGTTTATACCTTTATGAAATAAACTCATCATCCACGATCAACCTCATGATTTAACTCTCTACTCTTCCTCTACTTCTTTGGCTTTTTAATTTTTGATAACCCAAAATGAAGCATTCTAAATACATTGTAGGGAAAAGAAAAAAAAATCAGTTCGAATTTAGTAAATTGAAAATGCTACACCACTAATAAATTTGTTAAGTTATTGAGAACAATAAGCATCAATTTCACTTTAAAAATCAATAATCACTGTTTCTATTTGCAACTTCCATTTATTTTCTAAAGGATCATGAGCACCCTACTTCACATGCAATTTTTCATGATTTCCTTCTCTTTTTTCCTTTCCCTAATGGGGCATGAAGTAAATTTCATTTGAGAACTCACAAGTGAAATATGAACAATTTAGAATGGGATCGGGAAGACGACAAGGAGATCAATCACACTGTAACAGAGTCTTATTCTTTGTTTAGCTAAAAATTTAATTCTACACATTATTATTATTGTCCCTTGTACTATTATTTCACAAAATTTACTTCATGAATATTTTACAACGTTCTATCACACTATAAACACAAAGAGCAGTAATAACAACAAAAATTAGTACCAAGAGACAATAAAAAAGACTGATGAAAAGAGAAATCTTTATTTCTCTTGATATAAACCCCCAAACCAATAAGATTAACACATTATACATTGATGACAAGAGTAATTAACTCTAGCAAAATTATAAAAATTACTACGTACTAGCTACAACCCAAATTTTTTCATTCTTTTTCTTTTTTTTTTTGTGTGTGTGAAATTTGGGTAAAAACTACAAAATCAAGCCATTGGCAATGGCTCGATTGGTACCAAGATGAGTAGTTTCATAAACCGGCAATTCTTCGCGATACCTTTGATGATCCATTCCAATGGCAGAAAGATTATCCAGCTCAAAAAGATCCGAACTTGCATAACTTGCATCATCATCCATATCTTCATCATCATCTTCATCAAGAAGAATATTATCATTCTGGACTAGTTCTTGATCACTGATTCTTGCACTGCTTCTGATCATGTCAAACTCGCATTGATCGACCCTTTTCTGGAAATTCCTCAATAAATCTCTGGCGGCTTCCTGGACTCGACGATTCTTCTCCAAGGCCTGTAATTGTAGCTCATCTTTAAGAGAAGCTCTGATATTATTGGAACTGTTCTTCCCTGTTTTTCCATCATCTTGATCGTATAAGGATTTCTGGCCACATGGTTGTGAATCCTCGTCCACAATCACGCTTACTGGATAAAACCTGACTGATCTTTTCATCCCTGAGCTGCCATTGATGTTGCTGGATTTCTTGCTCAGACATGATCTTGAAAAAGAAGAAGCAGAGGAACATGTAGAAGCATTAGCAGATTTGAATTTCCTCTCTGAATCAATAGTCTCATCATCGTATTTTGCCTTCTTGGAGTTTCCAGCAGTGAAGATGGAGTTGAGAAAGCTCGCCAGGCGGCCACCAGGGGAAATTGGCTGTTTTACTTTCTTCAAATCGCCATAAATCTTCAAAGCCCTGGATTTTGTTTTCACAAATCTCCCTGTTTCTTCATGCTTCTCTGCTTTTGTTGGCTGAAGATAATTTCTGTTCTTGTGGTGGTGGTGGGATTGAGTTTTTTCTGAAGTGCTTGTCCTGATGGGCTTAGGCTTGTTGATTCCATAACAAGAAGGACCCCTGGATGATGGGAATCCATAGACAGATTCAGCCTCTGAGGAAGAAAATCCACCACCAGAACTGGAATCAGAGGAACTGGAGCTGGAATTGTTGAAGAAAGTAGTACAACCAGTACTGGTGGTGGAAGAAGCAGCATCCACATATTCATTGAAATTCCTTCTGTTCACAACAACTTTCTTCTCCATCCATTTCTCAATCAGACAAGCTCTCTGATAATTAGCCATCTCTTCTTCATCCCTGAAACTGTTGCTCTTCTTGGGCTTCATGCTGTTGCTGTTGATGTTGCTGCTGCTCTGTTTCTTCCTCATGGTTTCTTTATAAACCACAAGCTGGTGGTGATCTTGTACTTCTCCTTGGATACGATTAGTTTGAGTTTCGAAATCGATTGAACGGTAAATTTCGTCAAGAAGTGTTGAAGAGAAAGAAGGATTTGTAGTAGTAGTGTTAGAACTATACTTGTGATATTGGTGATGATGATATTGATCCATTAAATACTGCAATCTCCAAACACCAGAAATAATAATAAAATGGAGATTTTGAGGAGCACAAGAAGGGGGTAAGGAATGATATTTATTGTCTGCTTTGGAAGTGTCAAAAGCTGCAAAAATGGAAAGGAAAGAGAAGGGGGGGATTTAATGGAAGGCAAACAATATCATGTGAATGAAATGAAACAAACTGGGGAGAAAAAAAAAGGGGGAGGGGCTTATTTAAATTTAAAAATTTTGATTTTCAAAAAAAAACCCAAAAAGAAGGAAGCAAGAAATCAGAGGAAGGGCAGAGAGAAAGAGATGGAAGGGGAGGGAGGGATGATTACAGTACTGATGTGTTGTTGTTAGTTATGAATAGAGGAAATGAATGCAGAATGGGGACAATGGAGACAAGGGTCATTGATGCTTTTGGTTTGATTTATGGTTTACAGATCAGATTGGGAGTGTGAAAAAAAAAAAAAAAGAAAAGAAGGGGAATTTCTGTGCAGCAAAATTGTGTGGGTTTTACAATCATATGCATCAAGTGATTCAAGTGCATGTAATCAAAGCCAAAGGACACGCCTTCTGAGCAAAAAGAGAAATTGTCTAGTGAGAGAGTGAGGAGAGAGATTGGGCTGTGTTTCTTTGTTGTGTGCATCTTTTCTGTTTGCCCTTTGCTTTGCTGTTCATATGTATATATATATATATATATAAAAGATTACAGTGAAAATATATGTATACTGTGAGATTTTCCCCCTCTACATACTACAATCAACATTCCTACTGTTACTGTTGAGGTCTAGACAATGTTGGGCCATGGTGGAGATGACAAGTGCAAGGTTGGCTTTTGTGACATTGATCACAAATTACTTGCACACATTATAAGCAGATGAACGAGGTAATGCTCGTCAGGTATAATAACCGAGTATAGTACTTTAAGTAACATTATGATGGTTAACTTTACTTCGCTAGTTAGATTTTAGTAAAAAAAAAAAATACTACTCCCGTTTCAAAAAAAAAAGTTTCATATTGAGTTTTTATTTTTGTACTATTTTTAGTACGAATTCTAAACTTAAAGTGGACTATTTTTCTTGAACGGTGGGAGTAAGATTTTGTGAAAATGAATCACATTTTGACGGGAAAAAAGAAGAAGAAAAATCTAGGGAAGGAGCTCTTGCGAGCCAACTACATCTATAAAAAAAAATGTATATAGTCATTAATTTGAAAAGTTATGTTAAAACAAAAATTAGACAACACAAAAATTTAAAAAAAATTATTATTTAGAAAAAAAAAAAAGAGGCCTAGCTAGAGTGAAGTGTGAACGAGTGTGTGCGTGTAGGTGAACTGGTCTAAAAGGTACTGCAATGCCACTTCCAAGCAGACATTCTTTTTTCCACTCCAAAGTTGGCTTAATTTATACTACTTGTTACCCATCTCTCTAGCCCTAATCTAGCTACCTAAGCTAGTTTTTTTTTTAAAAAAAAAATCCTGATGATATTTAACAAATCTTAATCAACCAATCATAGTTTACTATTTTAAAGATAGAATGACTTTATTAAGCTACTTTTATTTTCATTTACACTTTGCTTAAAAGTTAAAACGACTTGCATACATAGAGGAACATGCAGTTCTTCTATTCTAATCAATCGAATCTCGGGTGCACCAAAAACCCTTTAGTAACATAAGAGAGAAACCCTTTAATTTCCAATGACAATTTCAGTTGGATTGGGACTTAGAAAAAGATCCTAACAAAACTGCATCAAATTAATTGTGGTTGTATCTAAACTAATACTCCCTCTGTCCCAAAATTATTGTACAGTTTAAAATTTTACTTTTAGTATAATTTTAACTAAAAATGAAAACTGAAGCTCGACAACAATTATGGGATAGAAGGAGTAATTGTTTTCGAAAAATTTGAGCTTTGCAAACATTATTCATTAGTACGCCGTTTGAAATTCGATTCCTATCTCTTTATATTTATGTACTACATCGAAAATTTCGTGTTATTATTATTATTATTTTTTTTGGGGTGTTAAATTTCGTGTTACTTTTCAAGATGAGGGAGGACATCGCGCGCAACTTTGGAATAGGGCAAAACAAAATTATGCAGGATCAAAACAAATGATAAATGCTATCTCATATTTGTGATTATCTCATTGTGTCCTTGTGAAGTGAGTGATGGAAAATTAAAGAGAATGAGGGGGCGTTTGATTTCCAGGAAGTTGAGTTGAGTAATATTCTTTGGAAACAGTAGAGCAATGATTGCACTCGTGGGGTTCCAATTAAAGTTGAAATTAAGCAAACAAGTTTGTAAGAGAATAGAAAACAAGTAAAGCAAAGATGGGATCTCTTGATAAGAAGAAGAAAAAAAAGGGAGGGGGGGGATCAACATGACAGACATATAAAAAAAGGGGGAAAAAAGGGCTTAATTAGAATATTAGCTAGGAAAAAGGCAATAAAGAAAAGAAATCAGATTTGATTTATATTAGTACCAGTACTCAATCAGGCACTAATCTTCAACATGACCTAAGTCCTTTTAAAAGCAACTTTGGCTCTCTTCCATTTTCTTTCACCATTCTCTACAACTACGATGAAGGAGACAAAAACCTAAAATCCCAACACATTCCGTATATTAGAGATGCAGAACATATTGTTCTAACGATTTCCACAGCATAATGCTCGATGATAGTTAAAATAAACTTTTTTAAACCTCCTAGTTCATGAGCAGTTAGTGAAGAAAATGTCTTAAGAACTACCGTCGTTACATTACTGCAAATAATTTTCTCATTTATCTTCTCATCGCTTTCCCGCTTAGTTTCCTTTGAAACCTACCCACCAAAAAGATCCCATCTCAATCCACTTTTTTTCCTTTTTTTTTTGGTTAACTATTAATTTAATGAATGGAACACGACCAACTATAACCACTTCTAAAATACTTAAAAACTGTATATAATTACTTGTTAACCTACGTCAACCGTTGCTTGGTTTCTTTCTCAAAAAAGCACTTTTAAAGAGTTCGGAAAGACTTTAGATCACATCAACAATTTTATTATGGTATTTAATTGAGTAGTATATATCCACGTTCTGATCATCACAAATTAATTATTGCTATCCCCCTATTTAAACCATTATATGCACATATCTAGATCAACTTTGAGTTGCCCAATGGGTTGGTGTGGGCTCAAGTCTTTTAGTAGACAAATTGAAGTACCTAGCAAGAAATTTCCAATTCTAGGCTCACATCATATGCACACATGCCATTTTTTCAAAGTAGCTGCTATGATCATCATAGTCGAGGAGGAGAACATTAAGGAATTGATGATTCGAGGTAACAAGAAAAATCCAATGATGTGATATACAGATATACGAATTTTAGAGTAACTGACAAACAAAGTACATAGACGGCACAACATTCCAATCTGTCTATTATGGCATAGAGTGCAAGTATTTATACAATCCGGTTAGGGTTTCAGAGAAACCCTAAAGATACTACAATGACAAATACACCCCTCTATACATATACGTTAACACCCCCCTTAAGTTGGAGCATGCGGGTTTCGAATGCCCAATTTGGACACAAAAAACTGAAACTGACGCTGGCCTAAAGTTTTGGTAAAGATATCAGCCAATTGGTTTTGAGTAGAGACATAACGAGGAGAGATAATGCCTTGAGAGAAAGCATCACGAAGGAAATGACAATCCACCTCAATATGCTTGGTACGTTTATGAAAGACCGGATTAGCAACCAGATGCAAAGCGGACTGACTGTCACAATGAATCTGCATCGGGTGAGAATGACGAACATCAAGGCTGAACAACAAAGAATTCAGCCACTTGAGCTCACAGACAGTAGTGGCCATAGCACGATACTCAGCCTCAGCAGACGAACGCGAGACAATGGGCTGCTTCTTAGTACGCTAGGAAATAGGAGACTGTCCAAGATTAACAAACCATCCAGTAAGAGAACGACGAGACAGCGGACAAGCAGCCCAATCAGAGTCACACCAACCAGACAACTGAAGATCACTATCAGCACGCAACAAAATGCCTTGACTAGGATTCATCTTCAAATAACGAACAACACGAAGAACAGCATCCCAATGAGCTTGATGAGGTGACTGCATAAACTGGGCAAGGATATGAACCGAATAAGAAAGATCAGGACGAGTAACCGCCAAGTAGATCAATCAGCCAATAAAACGACGATAACGTGCAGGATCAGAAAACAGAGGAACCTTATCAAGCGGAAGATGATGGTTTTGCTCCATAGGAAACGTAGAAGGTTTCCTACCTAACAGGCCAACCTCAGAAAGAATATCTAACGCATACTTTCACTGACAAAGAAAAATACCAGAGGCATTACGAGCCACCTCAAGACCTAAAAAATACTTAACCACCCCCCAAATCTTTCATATGAAAACAACTGCTCAAATAATCTTTGAAAAGAGAGATGGCAGTATGATTATTCCCTCTAATTGCAAGATCATCAACATATACCAAAATACTGAGGCAAACAATGCCATGATGAAGGGTAAACAAGGAATAGTCAGCAGTCGACTGGACAAAACCATATTGCTTTAATGCAAAAGCCAACTTGGCAAACCAACAACGAGGAGCCTGTTTAAGGCCATACAGAGAGCGACGAAGACGGCATACCTGACCAGAAGCTCGAGAACGAAAGCCAGAAGGAAGTTGCATATATACTTCTTCGTGAAGATCACCATGAAGAAAAGTATTATGGACATCCATCTGGTGTAACTCCCAATTCTTGGCAGTAGCAACTGCCAAAAATGTACGAACAGTCACCATTTTAGCAACGGGAGCGAAGGTCTCTTGGTAGTTAATCCCTTCTACCTGATTGTTACCAAGAATGACCAAACGGGCCTTATGTCGCTCAATGGATCCATCGGCATGATATTTGATTTTGAAAATCCACTTACAGCCAATAGTCCGTTTGCCAGGAGGAAGAGAAGTGAGCTCCCAGGTGTGATTAGTTTCTAAGGCACGAATTTCAACATGCATGGCAGACCGCCATTTTGACATCTTTGACTGCGTCGCGAAATGTAGTGGGCTCAACACCGGCAGTGATTGCCGCCAAGAAAACCTGGTAGCGAGGTGGAAAAGAAGCACAGTTTACAAAATGTGTTATAGGATAAGGAGTACCTGAGGACTGTGACTGAGCAGGAGAAGCAGTGGTGGGGAGGGGGGTGGATAGGGGAAGTGGTGCACACAACATGTCGAGCAAAGTCACGAAGACGAGTTGAAGGGAACTTGGTACAATGGCCACGACCCAAGAGTTCTGAAGATGAGGAAGAGGGTGCATCACCCGTGCTGTCAGAAGGAACCTGAGGAGATGAAGGAGAATAGCAATGATAGGCGAGACATGATCAGACTGAGAAACAACCGACACATCCTCAGCTGGAGTAGTGTCACTATCATCCACAAAAAAAAGGAAGTACCTTGGTCCACATTCGGAGTAGATGAGGGCACAGAAGGAGAAATATAAGGAAATTCATCCTCACAAAAAACCACATCACGTGGCGCAAAGAATTTGTGCATTTAAAGATCATACACCAACCACCCTTTCTTGCCAACCGGATAACCCACAAAAACACACTTACGACTCCGATGAGCAATTTATCACCCCCTGGATTGGTTATGAATATAGCAAAG